GGATAGCTAGCTATATGCACAGACAATACAAAGAATGATAGCGGCAAGGTAGGGAGGACTAACATATCAAGTAAGCGTGAAATGAGTAGTTTAATACAAATGGATATTAATGCTAACTTAAAGCAATTATTTTGTGCCCAAACAGGTAACTAAAAAAATGACAGAAAAGAGATAAATATTATACTGTTAACTCCAAGGCCCTAACCAAATACTTTTGCCATAGTAATTATGCACAACATTCTTAGAGCACTTGAATTGAGCCATTACTATGTCCAGCAGAAACTATATTTCATTCCTCTAAAATATAAGCTCCAAGAGGACAATGATGTTCTTACTGTTCACTGACTCCTTAGTTCCCAGAACCATATGGCTCAAAAATGTGTAAATTCAGTAAATATCTGTTCAATAACTAGCTTCCCATCATACAACAGAGAAAATTGAGGCTCAGAAAGATAATTATATATGCAAGGCTGCACAACCAGTAAATTAAGGTTCAAAACCAAATTTCAGTATTTTTTCTTCAACTATATCTGAAATCATTTGGCTATTAGTTGAAATCACTTTATAACACTTCATGCTAGCAAAATAATTGTCCTGAATGTATGATTTGTATTTGTCGCTAAATTTTAATTAAGTCAGAAATAGAAAAAAAATAAAATTGTCTAAAAGGAATAGGTTGCATAATACTTCAGATGTGTAATGACAGTTCAAAAACTTTAACCATTTTAAGTGAGACAAGTGGACAGAAAGTTGAATTTTTTATTAGATTTCAATTTTAAAATAATATAGCAAAAAAAGAAAAATCTACACACATTTCTCACGTGAAAGAAAAAATAAAAATAAGACTAACTGCTATTATGCACATAGATGCTACAGATTATACATAGGCTATCCATTCATTAAAGCAGACAAGGGATGATGGCCTTGAAGCTGAAAGCCTCCAACTGGTCAAATTACTATGAAATTCCTGAACAATCAAAATGCTTTTCTCTGAAAAAAATTATATCTCAAATTGGTCCCCCAATTAGTATGAAACACTAAAGTATTAAAATAGCAACATAAAGCACTAAAACAGTGAGATGGTATCCTTCTGTGAGTCTAAAATATATCAATAATTCAATAAACATAGTTGAAGAAACTAAAATATAATTAAATTTCAGCCTGCTGACAATATTTCTCTAGAATATTTATATTTCCTCAGTAGTAGCTACTCACGTATATCAATCCTTTCAAACATAAACTAAACTCATAGTATGAAAATATTTGAAAGCTGTAAAATTCACTTCACTTAGAAGTTCAGTTCCATAACTAAACTGTAAAATAATATTCTCAACTAAACACACAGAAGAACTAATATCCTAGGGTCATTTGAAGATCTGAGTTTTTCCACAAGGAAAACTCTTACCAATATTTAAAAGCATTCAATTAATCAGACTTTTCACCTGGCAAGATAAAATGTAAAGCGGACAAAAATTCTGGAATTTAGCTTCAAATCCTTCCATTGACTATATGTATAAGAATAGGAAGATTAAAATGCAATGTTTTCTTTTGCCTATCTTAGTATGAAAACACATCCACAGGAACATACAGTCAAAACTGAGTTATAAGAGTTTGACAGTAGTCTAGAATAGGTAAAATTTAGGGGTAAACATGTAAAATTTCATTTTACCAATAGCTTCAATTTCATTGTACACTAAACATTTCACCAGGAGCTTACAAAAATGTTCCAGACTTTTCCCTCCTCTGAATTCTTACATTATTCCAATAAACATCTGAAAACATTTAATGTAAAATATACTTTGCTAAATGTTTGTCCCTAACTTTATTTCAGCTAATAAAGATTACATCAATTCTGTGATGTAATCTGAATTTTACACATAACTAAACAAAACTTAGAGAAGCTAAGTAACTTGTCTCTGGTTACAAAGCTGTCAGAGGCAAAGTCTGCATCTCAATTACAGTTTTCAGACTATACCACAACTGTATGTCATCACTTTATTTGGCAATCACATTCTGCTGCCTTATTATACACTGTACTACTTTCACTTCATATTGCTTCATTTTTCCCACGTACATTTTAGAGCAACAATTGTGTTGTGCTTTAATTTCTTATACTATCCTTTCGGTATACTGATTCAAGTTGTTTGTATGACAGACTGCCAGACTACAAGGTTAAATATTCTGAGCCTCACATTCGTAAAATAAAAATGACACCAAACTGAGGGCTTACTGTGAATTCTTTCCATGAATTAACTCATTTAATCCTCACAACAGCCTTATGAAATCAGTACATTATTGTCCCATTTTGCAGATGAAAGATCTAAAGGTTAGAGAGGTTCTCTAATTTGCCCAAATATAGGTTATAAATTAGTAGGTGGAGGAGGTAGTTTTTAAGGCCGTGGTATTCTGTCTCAAGTGGTTACTTGCTTAATGTTCAAACTGTCCATCTAGGACTAGTGCCTGAATGAACTCATGTATTTATACAGTAGGGAGATTCAAAAAATTTTAACTCTGGGCACCAATTTCTTAGATGGAACACCAAAAACACAAGCAATAAAAGCAAAAAATAGATAAATGAAGTTTTAGTCAAACTTAAAAACTTCCATGCATCAAAGCACACAATCAACAGAATGAAACAACCTACAGAATGGGAGAAAAAATGCAAACCACCTATCTAATAAGGGGTTAATATCCAAAATGTATGAAAAACTCCTATAACTTTTGTTTTTTTAATAATCCAATTTAAAAAATGGGCAAAGGACTTAAACAGACATTTCTCCAAAGATGATATACAAATAGACAACAAGCAAATAAAAAAAAACACACAATGAGATATCACTTTACACTTGTGAGGATGACTATTATCAAAAAAAATCAAAAATCAAACAACAACAAAACCAAGCAAAGAGAAAATAACAAGTATTTGTGAAGAGGTGGAGAAAAATGGAACGCTGGCACACTGTTGGTAGTAAAATGGTAGAAATGTTATGGAAAACAGTATAGTAGTTTTCCCAAAAAGTAAAAATAGTTCAGCACCAATATAATTCAGCAATTCCATTTCTGCATATAGTATACATATATGTACGTATATATAGACATATATACGTACATATATGTATCTATCCAAAAGAACTGAAAGCAGAATCACAGAGATATTTACAAACCCATAGTCATAGCAGCATTATTCACAATAGCCAAAATATAAAAACGATCTACATGTCTACTGATAGATGAATGGATAATGAAAATGTGGTATATAAATGCAATGGAATATTGTGCAGCTTTAAAAAAGGAAATCCTACATGCTACAGCACAGGTGTACTTCAAGGACATCATGCCAAGTGAAATAAGCCAGGTAAAAAAGGTCCTTGAATAACACTGCTTCATTCAATCTCATTTTGTTACAAGGTTGATGAGAGGCCACATTTTTGTTTACATTAATTAGCCTATGGCATGTTTGGTTTCATTATATGTCATTTTGCCTAAAGTCACAGAAACTATAGACTATGTTAGGTGGGAAATTGCTGTATATGATCCTACTTAGGTAATGTATCTAAGTGGTCAAATTTTAAGAGAAAGTAAAATGGTGGTTGCTAGGGGCTAGTGGCTAGAGGAAGTGGGAAGTTGTCTAACTTGGTAGAGCTTCAGTTCTGTAAGATGAAAAATTCTGGAGATCCGTTGCACAACAATGTGAAAATAGTTAACATTACTAAACTGCCAATGAAAAATGATTAAACTAGTAAACTTCAAGTGTTTTCTGTGACAGTTTAAAAAATTATTAATTTTTCTTTCACTTCCCTTTCCTTTCCTCTCTGATACAGGATTCAAAAGTGATTTAATGAAGGAATAGAAGCAAACAAAAGAACATAAGAGTTTCAACAATGTAGAAACAAATTTAAAAAACAATAAAACAGGTAACCCCATATCCTTATCAATAATTTTTTTTCTTAACTTGGAAACACCTTGAATCTCCCAGTACACCACTACCCTATTAGCAAGGCAGTATAATGGTTAAAGGCCTTTTGGAGCAGGAAAGCTCAAGTACTGCTCTGACTTGGCTACTAAATTACTGTGTAGCCTTCTATTAAGATATTATTATTCATCCAATCCATCCATCCATCCATCCCTCCACCCATGCAAAAGACAGTCTGTTTCCATATGGGTACACTTGTTCAAATGAATCCTGTACCTCTACACAGGATTTTTCTGAGGAGTAAGTGAAGTATAAAACACTAGACACATGGTCTAGCACTCTAAGTGCTCAATAAATGTTGGCCAATATAATTATTTTAAAGTCTAGAGAGCATGACTTGAAAGCCTAGGTAGGACGTGAACAGGATGAATTCAACCAAAAGATATCCAGGACTGTTCCTTAGAGATCTGCCTAATCTGTCGATAATTATGGTGTTATCAACTCAGATACTATTTAGCATATCATTATCACTCTTGCCAAATTTGTGCTCCCCTTTGCTAAATAAACTCCCTCCCAGATAAAAACAATGTCATCTCAGGTATTAGAAAATGTTTGCTTTGGGAACAATGTTCTGTCCCCAGAGATGGTGGGTCCTAAGATCTGTACATTCTCGACTAGACTTCCAAGTTCCTTTCACTTCGTTAGGAACCTAGGCCTTATTTGGGGATGAGGATGGGGAGAGAGAGGGCCGCACAACGGAACACCCAGTTATAAAGCCCACTCAGGTAAGGCTAAGACGGGACCGGACAAATCTCCAATGGACAGTCTCCGAAAACGGAGCAGGGAAAGAAGCAACGACCCTCGCCTGTCAGTTGAGAGCCGGCATCTCGCAGGGCAGGCTGGTGGTGCATAGGGAGTCTCGGGTGGCCCATCCCAAGCCCACCGGGCCAGGACGTATCCCGCAGAGTGGTCGGCTTGATTCGGGGTTCTGCCGTCTCCCGAACGGGCGATTTGGGGGGTGGGGAGGGGAGGGCTGCGCGGCGGTCGAGGGACCGGATAGGCAGGGAAGGGACACGGAGGGCCTCACCGCGGGCCGAGGGCAGTGGGTAGAGCTTCTCGGCCTTCTGCAGGAAGCGCTGGGCCTTCTCGCGGTCGCCAGCGTTCAGGGCCTCCCTGGCGATCTCGACACATTTCTCTGCCTCATCCCGGTTCCCCTCCATGGCTTGGCTTGCGCCTTCTTCCGTTTCCTCCGGGAGCTCTGCTACCAGGGGGCGGAAGCCGCCACCGCCGCCGCCGAGGAGGCGAGGCACGCCGGGGTTGGGGCGTGCGGACGCGAGCGGGCGGAGCGTAGAGATCCAGGCGGCGGAGGCCGAGGCTGACTGGCCGCCTCGAGGCTCCGCCTCCTCACGCCCCGCCCCCACCGTGGGCCTCTAAGGAGCGAGCCGCATCTCCAGGCCTCCAAACCCCGGGGTACGAGCCCACTCAGTGGTCTCAGCGCGGCGCCAAAAGGTTCAAAGCAGATCAACCCGAGGGGACTGGTGGGTGGACACCAGCCCGGCGGCGCCGGGGTAAGTCCCGCCAAGGCTGGGACTGCCGCCCTCACTGGCAGCGCCACCTTTACCGCTGACAGCCGCGCGCAGCCCGCCTTCCCGGCGGCCGGAGCGCTGGTTGGGAGGTGGGGACGCCGGTTTTCAGGAAAATTCCCAGATACCGGAGACCCCGCCTCCAAGCGACAGTGGCCTGGGGAGGATTTGGTCAGATGACCGCTCTGTCACTCCCTAAGGCAGCGCTTCCGGCACAGGTGTTGAACACAGTAGTAGAGCATGGTTAGACCCCAGCTCTAGAGCTTTTTTTTTTGTTGTTAAAGCTACGCACCATTTTCCTGACCCAGATTCATGGTTTCATACCACTGAGGTTCAAAGCAGATCGTTTACAATTATTCTGGCCTTAACCCCAACCTTTATGACCAAAACAGGGCAGGAACCAGCTTTCTGGGAATTCATTACCATCAGAGGTAAACTACTTGATTTTTCTTCAATACCATTTTCCTGACATTGCCACTGTAAAATGTTGGGGGCTGGGGGGGGGGTACTTACTGCTTGGGAATGTTATTCAGATTATTAAAAATTAAGACATTTGCCAGAAAACAAATGTAAAGATAATCCCCTCAATCCAGTCACAAAATAACCATTGTTTTCACTCAAGCATTTGTTAGCCAGTTGGAAATACCAAAACTCAAGGGCTTCCAAGGATTTTTTTTATCCTGAATCTCTTCTATGAAATGTATTATCCCACACCAAGATGTAAATGAGTATTAATAATCTAATTCAGAAATTTCAAAACTATTTAGCTAACAAAACAAAAAACACTATTACTTTAAGTGTGAACTGAAAGTTCTGTCTGGGGAGGTGGTAGATACAGGACTTGCCTACCTGCTCCCCCCAAGTCCACCACAGCAGTACTCTACCAGTGTAGTGCTATCACATACATAAACTCTGACCAAGACACAAACTGAGATGGCAACTAGCCTATAAAACTTGCCCCATTTCCAGTTCCTGCCAAAGTTTTAAAATCTTAGTAGTTAATAACATACTAAAAAATTACAGTTGGGCCACCTAACTATTTGATCTAGAAAACTAAGTTGAATTCCTCAAGAATAAATGTGCTTAATTTATTATTGCTGGATGATGCCTATTCAAAAAAAAAGATGTTTCTATTACAATCAAGCAAATTTAAAACACAACTAGTTTGGGATATGACCTTTATTGAGCTTATCCACCGAAGTGGAAATAATGTCTGTACAAAACCAAATGTTTGTTACTATAACTTCTGCATCACAATTAAAATCCAAACAGTTTTTTAAAAACAGTCAACTCAATCAAAACCCACTACTTCAGAATCAATAGCTTCTTTGAAGCCACAGTAACACTTAAATATGGTTAAGACTCGAATGCAGAAATTTGGTTGGTTGGAATGCTAATTAAACTTCCAACTTGCTCAAATAGAATTACAAAAAGGCAAAATTGTGTTTTTCACAGAGATACAGTCCACTGGAATCACCAACACTGGACAGCTGTTAGAGTATTTAGAGTCCTGAGATAATAAGAAATCCCGGCATTCTTTAGACAGTCTTCTGTTGTCCTTTTTTCCCAATCAGAGATTTGTGGATGTGTGGAATGACACCTAGGAGAGAAACAGAGATAAACTTTACTTTTTAGTACACATTTTATAATACACTATATTTAACCCAGAACGGTTTACTGTTTGTTCATCTTGGAAGTCTTTAAATGTGAAAGAATCAACCCATAAATCATATTTCATGATACAATCATACTGTATGTCAGTGAAACATATACTCAAGTGCCCTCTTTTAAAAATTATCAATGGTAATTTTTTAAAAAAGCAAACACCTATTTTCTCTAAGGAAACTTAAAGTGAAATTTTAGTATTTACATACCACCACCAGCGATTGTAGCCTTGATGAGAGAGTCCAATTCTTCATCTCCACGAATAGCAAGTTGCAAATGACGAGGGGTAATTCGCTTTACCTTTAAGTCTTTTGATGCATTTCCTGCCAATTCAAGTACCTAGAAGGCAGGGGCTAACCAATCAGTCTGTTTCCAACTCTTGTTTAGGCCAAGATCCAAAGAACCGAACCTTCTTGAAAGTAAATCTACCAATTGTCTCCCTTCCGCCTCTACTAACTGAATGTCAAGACAGCATAAACTATAAAGGGGGCACGCAATTTTATTTCCAAGAGCTGCTCAAGCTCAGTATGATCCCTTAATAGTCACCAGCTCCCTCTAGCGTTCCCAGAGCCTTCTCGCCGCGTTTAGGGCCTGGGAGTTTTCTTGCATCACTTTCCTCCTTCCCTTTCACCACCTACACCCGCCCCCCCCCCCCCCCAAACCTTTTCAGATTATAGGCGTACACCCATTTACCTCTGCGGTGAGATACTCCAGAATGGCTGCGCTGTACACAGCAGCAGTCGCACCCACACGTCCATGACTGGTTGTCCTAGATTTCAGGTGCCGATGAATACGGCCCACCGGAAACTTAATTTAAAGCACAAACAAATGAACAAAAATATGAATCAAAGATGATAAAAATTATACGCAAACCAAAGTAAGGGGCAAGGACACTAGTGCAGCAACGCTCACCCGTATCGACACACGTGATCTTCCCCCCTCCCCGGTATTTATCGTGTGGGCAAAACAAGTCGCGACACCGCAGCACCCACGCAAAGACGAAACGCCCATTTAGAGCGATGATAAACAAGAAAGGAGGAGAAAAGAAAAACGTCACGATTCCCAGACTGTACCGAACCACACAGACCTGCAAACCGGCTCTCTGCGAGCGGGAAACCGCCTTTGTCTTGGCCTTTCCGGAGTCTTTCCCAGCCTTACCGCCAGCCTACGGCGCGCACACGCCCGCGAGGAAGAAGGAACGGAGAATATAGGATTACCACGGCGGCGCGCCCCTCCCCCACCGCGGCGCGGCTCGGGCGCGAGCGCGCCCCCGAGCTCCGCCGGGGTCTCCGGCCCGCCGCACGCCGCAAGGGCAACCCCGCCTGCACGCCCCCCGCTGCGCGCCAGTCGCGGCCGCGCGCCCTCGTCCGCCCGTTGGCCGCCTGTTGGCCGCCCGCTGGCCCCCAGCGGCACTGCGCGCGCCACCCAACCGTCGCCGCCTGCTGCGAGATCGGAGGCGGCTGCGCTCGCCACCGACAAATCACCTCCCCCGCTCTTCCAAATCCTATCTCCGCGCGTTTCCAACCGTCGCCAGTTCACCCTCATCTCCGTGTGTAACGGGTTTTTCTCTGCAGGCAAAAACCCGCGGAGCCTTCAAGAGCCTCTGAGAAGTTTACCATTTCCAATTCTGCTGAAGCTCAAACAAGCAAGGCAGAGAAAGGACTAGTCAGACACCCAGCGAGATCCCACCACCTACTCCGTCGCACCGCGATTCAAACTGCGCTGTCTCCCGCCTTCCCCGCTCCCTTTATACTGCAGAATGTTCCCTCATCCGGGAACTCGGATTGCTCATCCCACCAATGGCTGCCACCCGCCCTGGGGACGCGTCCTTGGAGCTTCAGCCAATGAGCAAACGCAGAAAGAGGAGGAGGGGCGGGCGCTACGTAGCTCGAACCGCTATTGGGACGTGAAGTGGGGGAGGAGGGAGAGGGCGGAGGGAAAGGAACCGGAGAGAAGAAGGGCACAGCGGCGGGAGGAAAGGAACTGTGCAAGCTACACTGCGGGAACGAGGACACTCACAGCTAGTGATCACGTGTATGGGAGGAGGGGCTGAGAGACTTTGGGGCGGAGCACGCAGTAGCGCCCCCAGGTTTCCTAGCCGGGTCCTGGTGACCACGTGAAGTCGCCTCCGGTTCTAGCGCTCCCTCCTTCCTGTTTCCCCCACCCCACGTACACATCTCATCGCCTAACGGGCGGAGACCGGCTTCAGACACCCTTCTTCCCGAGCATCCTCCTCCTCGCCCTACTATTTATCCCTTGGGTTTGACAGTGGCGCGAATGCGTCTTGTGAGAGGGGAATCCACACTACTCCGTAGAGGTTTTGTGTTACTACACCCTAGGCGAGTTCCCAGCCACGGTCTGATCAGGACCGTGTGCCCCCACTTTTCCAGGGGTGGCTCCCACCTCTTCCGTTTCACTACTTTTGAAACTCCCGACGGGACAATTACACGGGGACAAACAGCGTAGCAAAGTCACCCTGCTGGACACAAAAGACCTTTTGGTCTCCGCACAGAAGTCTTGGGGTGAGGCGTTACTGTTTTCCTTAATCAAATCGTAAACTAGATTTTCCTGGAGACTACCCATCAGTGTGTTGCACCCATACCCTGGTGTCTAAAGTTGATTTAGTAAACCTTGAAGCTATTATGTGACCTTTTTTTATACTAAACATTTTGCTACATGACAAATGACTATTGTTAACGTGTGGTTGGGTAACTCCTAATGTGATTCACAGGCAGTTACAGATGGTCCATGTAATCAATTGCAAATAGTGGGCTTAAAAATTAGCACTGTACACACAGTACTAGCATAATGCCAGTTATTTAGTCTTCCAACTAACACCTGTGTACATCTCTAGCTGCTTGGAGACAGTAGTGATCTAAATCTTTCATGTTTGTAGTGTTTATTAGTTTAGTACACTTAATGTTTCCGATGTGATGACATTTTTTAAATATGTACTCTGAAGTACTTTGGATTGAGTTTCAATTCGAAAGCTTTTATTAAATTAGAAAACCTCTCTATTTCAAGGAATTTAATATATATTAAATCCCCAATCTCTTTTGGGACAGCCTAATTTTGACACAGCCTTCTTATTTCTTCCCCTTGGAGCTGAGGAATTCTTACGATGTCATCAATAGTAAGAGTTACTGAATTGATGTAATGACAATAAAAAGCAATGAAACCTAATGTAATAGTTAACCTGAGCTCCACTATGGCTTCCTGATATATAAGTCACAAGCCAGCATTAATACCTTTTCCAGTTTAGAGAATATGTGCTTTATTTACTATGAAGTTCAACTAAAGAAAATCAGTTTCCTCCCTGAATAGTGGATAAGAGAATGAGCTCAGGAACAGGTAGATGTAAATTCTGTTCTGCTTCCTTTCCATTGTCATCTTAATAACCTTTTGGAGCTTTGAGTTCCTCTTCTGTGAAAGGAGTATAGGAACACCTATTTTCATGTAGTTGTTGAAAGATTAAAGAAGAGGTATTCATTGTACACTCCAGCATGCATTTGTCACATAATAATCACGCTATGAAAATTACTGTTATCTTCTTTATTGGATACTGGGAAGGGATTAAAATAAAGTATCTGATTCATAAATCTTTTTTTGGATGTACTACATTGTCTTCCTCCACCATGAAAGTAGCCTGAAACCTGCCCAAAGTAAACATAAGCACGTCATTCAACATACAAAATAAAATCCAAAATTGGTTTAATACATTCAGTAGTTTTCCTCCTCCTTTGAAGAACAGGACTGTTTCAGTCTCCACTTTTCACAGCAGTTGTATAAAGATTTCTTGTTCTCTTTGCTTCTCTGTAAAGGTATGGGGAAAATATGTTAGTATTCTTGGCTTATCTCTCCTGTGCTTGTGTTTATGTCAATACATGTACAGAGCCGGAGCTATGTAATTCTTATTGTTCAGTGTCATACCAAATTAACTACTTAATACAGTCATATGCTGCTTAACCACAAGGATGTGTTCTAAGAAATGCATCGTTGGGGAGTTCATCATTTTGCAAACATATGGTGCACTTGCACAAATCTGGATAGTATAGCCTGCTACATTGGTAGGCTATGTGGTGTAGACTATTGCCCCTAGGCTACAAGCCTGTACAGCATGTTATTGTACTAAACAACAGAAGAGTAAATCAAGCACTAGAGAAAATGTTGTGATTAAGAGGTGGCATTAAATATGAGATGTATAAGGCTGCTGTGGGTGTAACATGACATACTGTTTGACAGCAGGCTTTTTTTTAATAAGTAAAAAGAGTACACTACAAAATAATGATAAAATGTATAATGTATTCAATACATAAAATATTATCAAGTATTATGTACTGTACATAATTGATGTTTTATACTGTTATACTGACTAGCTGAGAGCATTAGACAAAAGAAAAATTTAAACAATGCTTCAATCATTAAGGCCACATTAATAAGGGCTATTATAAAATAAGTACCTAATTGACCACCAAGTTGACTGTTCCTCTAGTTTAAAGGGCAAGGACAACTGTGGGTTGCAGTGTTTTGGAGAGTTTATGTTTAAATGAACAAGGCGAGAGTTTGTCAAGAATAGCAGGTTGGTGTAAGGAAGTAGCTGCTAGAAGGTAAGGTGTGCAAGAGATTCCTGGTTATAACCTTATTTCTATTTTCCTATCTCCCTCAGTAATTAAACATCCAATTTATAGTGGGACACTTGGTCATCAGGATGTAAGTGCAATTGGCCATGGTAATAAGTGTTGGCCAAAGGGTGTAAGCAGCAGTGGTAGGTACTTACCAACTGGAATGAAGACAGAGTTGGAAAGCTATTTGGGGCCATGAAATGACATTGGGAATGAAGGCACCCATAAAGGAATAATGACATAAGGATCAAGGTCTTTGATACTATAGAGTATCAAGCCTGCTCTAGATCTCTCTGAATGATTACATCTATTTTCTTTGAGTCACTTTTATTTTGGATTATCTGTCACTTGCAATGGAACCCAATTTTAACCATCACAGTAAGTCGATACCCTAAATATTGGGTTGGCCAAAATATTTGTTCAATTTTTAAGTAAAAATAAAAGACATGTTTTTATTTTTACCAATAACTTTATTGAACAACATATTCACTGTCTTGTTCCACTACCTTCTGTCATCTTGCAGGCAATCTCATAACTCCATCTTTCCAAAACTTTTTATCTTTTTGAGCAAAGAACTGTTCCAGGTGCCTTTTGCAGTCTTCCAGGGAATTGAATTTTTTCCATTAAGAGAATTTTGTAAAGACTGAAATAAAAGGAAATCCAAAGGTGTAATGTCTGCTGAATACAGCAGATGAATCAGAACTTCCAGCCAAGCTGTAACAGTTTTTTTGCCTGGTCATCAAAGAAACATGCAGTCTTGTATTATTTTGATAGAAGATTATGCATTTTCTGTTGACTAATTTTGGATGCTTTTTGTCAAGTGCTGCTTTCATATTGGGAACAGTACTTGTTGAAATTAGTATTTTGGTATTCTGGAAAAAGCTCATAACAGAGAACTCCCTTCCAATCCTACCATATACACCACGTTACCTTCTTTGGATGAAGACCAGCCTTTGGTATGGTTGGAGGTGGTTCATTTTGCTTGCTCCACAATCTCTCACATTCTATATTAGATTAAAGTATCCATTTTTTATTGCTCTCCCAATTTGTTTTAAGAACAAAATGTTTTCATTACATTTAAGTAGAGAATTGCATGCAAAAATACAGTCAGGAAGGATTTTTTTGGTTTAACTTACGTGGAACCCAAACGTAAAGCTGGGCACCCATGAGCAGAAGCTGAAGTGCTTTCAATGGAGAAAGATTTCAATGGCTGGGAGGTTCCCCCTGAAAAGTGTGGAACCTCCCAGGCTGGTCTCCCTAGCCCATAGCACCAGAGCTAGAAAGGAGCCCAGATAACATCCAGCTGTGAAAAGTAGTAAGGGTTTTGTTTGCTAATAATGTATGTCATTTGGCTATAAAGCCTGAAACCAGTGTAAAGCTAAAACTAAGAGAATGATGTTAAACATCTTGAAGGAAGAATCACTGATATTTAATAACTGACTGGGTGTGACATTTAGGAAGGCAAAGGGGATGAACATGGGTAAGTGAAAGACTGAATCGAAGAAAAGAGCCAGGTATTTTAAATTCCTGATCTACGGTATAAAGTATCTATAGAAATAGGAAAGCCATAGGGTAGTTAAGTGTAGATAGATTGGGGGCAGGAGAAAGAGAAAAAGGAAAGTTATGAAATATTTACTTTCATTTGGCATTAAAGAAATCCAAGTGAAATTTTCAGTAGCTACATTGGCAATAAGGCCAGGAGTTTAAAAAAGGAAAACATTTCAAAGATATATCACAAGGAGAATTTTAACAAAAACATTAGGTGAGGATGTCAGAATTATTAAAAAATAAATTGAGGCATATTAAAATTTTTAAGAGTTTCTTTGAGCAAAAACTAATCCAACTGGGCAACACCAAATTGGAAGTGTTTTGGACTGCTGATGGGAGCTGGGGAAAGATTTATAAAGACACTGTGGAAGTGAAGCAAGCAAATTATTTGATTGGTTATAAGCTTAAAGCCTACTTGGCATTGGTCATCAATTTGGTTTTGATTTTGTAACCTTAAGTTTTGGTTTGCTTCCATGGGCCACCACAACATTAGGACCACCTCAGTCTAATGGCCTCCTTGTTTAGTAACACCATGGATAAGAATTCTAAGGAAAAGAGTGAATAGAGCTGAAAGC